TTACATGCAAAACTATTTTGGGGATTTATCATTTGATGACTACTCTTCAAAATATACTTACTCTACACATAGAGATGATGAAGATAGTGAAAATTTTGAACCTCATAGGAACTCTATGTGGTACTAAGTCACTCATGTATCTTACCATGCAATGTATAAAGTGTAAAATATTGTAGTAATTCATTATATATAAATGATTATGGTGTGTTTAATCTTCTTTCATTAATTACTACATATTTTCTACACTTACGGTGTTTGCCAGTTCGCTATATAATCAACTTAAATCAGTTAAATCCATCATGCAATGCATTTCCTTCCAATTTTTTGTGATAAACTAATAGATAATTGACTAAATAAACATTCTGCAAAGTTTCAATAAAAATTTCCAAGTTTTTCTTACAATTTCCGTGGTTTTTATTCAATTTTTTCCGATACCGATAATATCCCGATATTTCCAGCGATATTTTCGTATTTTTTGACTTCCGATATTTCCGATACCTTCGATATTTAAGACCATGGTTCTAATATACATAGCGACGTCATATTTGAATAATCAACGTCATTTTAGATAAACAAGCGCCGTCATAACTACATCGGAAATCCAAAAGTCATTTGGCGCGTATTAAAAAGAGAACGACGTCGTTTTCAGAACCCCAAAGTAACCACATCGGTTTATTAAAATACATGGTCGTTGAATTTCGAAGTACAACGTCAGTTTAGATCACTAAAAGAAAATAGGCCTTAGTTGACACTTCATAGTTGACGCTTTTTGAAAAACCATCAACTATTCTGCTAATACTTGACACTTTTTAATAAATGTCAACTATATACCAATGTTTTGTGACATTTTATAAAAAACGTCAATTAAAGCCCTTTATACTTAACACTTCTTAAAAACCGTCAAGGTGATCTTGTTATACTTGACGCTTATTTAAAAGAAAAAAAAGGCAATACTTATTCTGTGGTTCGCAATATTTCGTTCCAAGTGTTCTCCGCCCTAATCGCTCTTATCTTTTGTTTTTGGCGGAACTCGTTCTTTTTATATTGGTCACCACCTTATCCTACGTTACAAAACCCAAAATCACAAGCCCTAGGTTTTCCATTGTTTCTTCAGGTGTGAAATTGGAAATACAAATGAAAAGAGCAAAAAGTTCTGAAATCGGAAATACAACCTGTAGGTTTATATTGATCTATCTCTCTTCTCTCTTCTTCATCTCTGCAACACCAGCTTCTAAGTTCTAACTCATCCATCTCTGCAACGATGGCGCTACACCAAACCCAAAAAGAAATCAAACACATTGAGCCTCTCTCCCCACTCGCTCCTCTTCTCTCCTGCTCTTCCATTCTTGTCTCTAGCGCGCTCGCACGATGACTCCTCTCACCGTTGGCACAGTCGCTCTTCCTCGTCACTAGCCAAGCTCGATCTTCTCTGGAATCTCTTCGCCGCCACTGTGACAGTCTGACAGGTAAACTCTTTTATTCCTCTTCCTCTTCCTCTTTAAATCTATTCCTAAATCTGTGATGGGCGAAGACAATTAGGGTTATGGTAACTGTTGTTGGTTATTTTTCTTCATAAAGAACTCCCATTTTTTCAATTTTATTTTAGGATTTTGTTTGGGTATTTGATTATTGTCGCTGATTTTATTTCCTTGTAAAGAAATTTGGCTTCTTCTATTTGATTTTAGGGTTACGTTTGAGTATTTGATTATTTTATTTTGGATGTGATGAAATTGAAGCAATCTTTTTTTAGAATTTAATCCCATGGTTTTTGTTCGAAGTGATGCCCTGGTCTAATTTAAGGTTTTATTGTTTGAATATTTGTTGGCAAGACAGAGTGTGACAGAGGTAATAGTCCAGCCTTGTCATCTTTCTTCATATAATCTTTGTGACACTTGGTTTAGCCTTTGGTTCTGCTTCCCCTGCACTATTGGTGTTGGTTATGTTTGTATTTTGTTGCTATTGTCTTTTCTGTTGTTTCTCTTGCTCTAAAATCTTTGGTTCTTGAACAATTATTGATGATATGTGCTCCTATCTCTTGCTCCATTGTAATTAGTGATTTTTATTGAAATCAGTGCCTAATGCATAAAGCCTTTAGTTTTAATTCATTTCTCTACTTTAGTTTTGGTTTCCTAAAGTAATAAGAACCTGTGCTCTGTGTTCTGGTTTCTACACATTTTAGAATTTAAGTTCAGGTGGTAGTTCGCTCTAAGTTGATTATATGTCATGCACAACACTAGAATAAGATTCATCTATGCCAATGATGATGCTCTGTTTGGTTACTAGAATAAGAGTTTTACTTTCTAAATCTTTTACTGACAATTATTAAGAGGTTCTTTCTGTATCTTAATTTGAATATCATTTGGGTCTTTGCTCCCTCAAAACAATTGATTGTATATTACAATGAGTGTGCTGACTTGGTAGATGTTTCGAATAATGACATCAAGAAGTCGTCTTCTTCTACCTCCCCGGTATTTCCTAGCTCAAAGAACCTCCAATCGCTTCCTCAACATTTACATGCTGCCCCGTCTTTCATTTCATCCCACTGGGTCTCGACCCATATTGTCAAATATGGGCTGTGCTTTTTGCAGTTTGAGATTTTAATCTTTAGGCTGTGATTTTTGCAGATTTTCAGTTTGTCATTTTTTTATTTGGACAAAGCATATGTAGAAAAAGGTAAGCATTTTGTAATACTTTTGGATAGTTGTTGATTTGGTTTAATAATCAGATTTGTTGTTGCACTTATTAGGCTAGCTTGAATAGTTTGGATCATAGATGTTCTTGGAACTTTGCAGGTGAATATTTTCCCAGAGCCTACATTGAAACAATAAAGATTTTATTATTTTAGTTTTTTACATGTTTTAGATGATGAGGATGATGATGCTTACATTAATGCAGACGATGTTTTGAGTATCACTCAAGTGCTGCTTTATATTTAAATTCTTAGGAAGGATCTTATATGCTGGTTTTAGGGATTTTCTTATTGTGCTGGTCAGAAGGTAGTCTTTAAGAAAACAGGTCTTGGAATTGGATTTTATGCTTTTTGCTAATTGTGGTGATAATTTTTCTCACTGATTAGACTTTTGAGTTTCCTCTCTTTAAAGAATTCCAAATAACTTTCTAAACAACACAGATTGGGTAGAAATTGGTTAATCTGTTATTTATATGGCAAGTTTTGGCTTCAAAGATTTGTTTGGATCTCCTCTTCTTTTAACGAAGGCAGTGGGCTCTGTAAAAGAGAGATTTGATAAATTGAGGAGATGTGATTGTTTCTTGTAAAGTTGAAATGTGATTGTCTCTAGTCATATTTTGTGCATAGTTGACTTCAAGTTATTCTCTGCATTTGAATCAAAAGAAGTGGGCATTTGTATTTGGTAATGAATATGTGCATGATATGAGACTCTATTGGTGTAGGACAAGGTTGATGTGTTCATTGGTTGTATCTCTTAATTCTTTAAATTCATGTCTTACCTTTATTGGCAGATTGATGAGTTCATGGAGGCTTAAACTACAAAGACAAGTGCTACGGAAAGTCAAGCTTCTAAGTTAGAAGTTTTACGTTTTACCGTACTAGATAGCTTGGTTTATTTCAGCATTTATTGTTTTCAATGTAATTTTTTTAATGTTTTTTTAATATTATTTCTCAAGATAGTTAACATTATTACGAGTTTTTGAATGTTTGTATCTAAATATTCTATTTTAGTGGATATTAAATTTCAGCTTGTTATTTTTTTAATATATTCATTTAGCTACTATAAATTCTTTGAAACTTTAGTTGTCTAAGAAGCTCTTTGTTTTTGAATGTTTGTATCTAAATATTCTATTTTAGTGGATATTAAATTTCAGCTTGTTATTTTTTTTAATATATTCATTTAGCTACTATAAATTCTTTGAAACTTTAGTTGTCTAAGAAGCTCTTTGATTTTTTTTTTTGTTTTCTAAAATTTTAGTTATACATCTCTTGATGGCTAAAAACCGTCAAGAAAGATTTATTAAATGTCAGGAAATATACCTATTAAGTGACAAGAAAAGCTTTCATTGACGCTTTTTCACTAATCCGTGACGCTTTTTACTCGTCAGGGAACACTATTTCTTGACGGATAATAAGTGTCAAGTATGGTGGTACCCTTTCCTGAAAGTGGCGTCCCTGAAGCTTTTGGAACCGTCATCTAATGGCTATAGTGACGCTTTTTAACCGTCAGTAAATGGTGTTTTTCTTGTAGTGGATAAACAAGCGCCGTCATAACCACATCGGAATTCCAAAAGTCATTCGGCAATTGTGATAACCACGTCAGGTATGAATTATTTTCCGTAGTTATAACTAAATAATACGGCGGTTTAGTAATAAAAACGTCGTTATATTGAACTATGGGAAAATATATAAACTTTTCGTCACCTGACCTAATGTTCTACGATTCTCTCACTGATAAAATATCGCAGTTTCCCTCTCATTTCCCAAAAGCAGCATCATCGTCTTCATGTCCAAATCACCATCTTCGTCTTCGTCTTCGTCGGAAGGAAACTTTCTTTGCACGCCAAAGGTTTTTTCTCACTCTCTTCACTTTTTTTACATTTCATTTGAATGCCGTCGTTGTCTGGAAACAAGATTCTGTCAAATTGAGGAAATCTTTCACTGGTTTTGATTAAATTCATAAGTCCATATTCTCACGACGCCAAAAGATGACAGTTCTATCTTGTTTGGGACGATAGAATGGACACACCACGATGGCCGTTAAATTCTACCGAATGCAAACTGCACGACAGTGTTTAAAAACCGTCATGGTGTGACAATTAATACGTCGGAAACAAGATAAAACCGTCGTCTTGTGGGAGAAGAATAGTCGTTTTGTGTTTGATGTTGTAAATTTTAAACCACGTCGGTTCTTAGGATGAGTAACCGACGTAGTGTATACAAATTTACGTCATGAAATATATAAAACCGTCGTCTTATTTCCATACATGGTCTCAGAGACTGTTTAATAGGACGTCGCTGTTTTAGTGTTACTGTCGTGGTGTTCTATTTACGACGACAGTGTTGTTTTACAACCGTCGTCGTAATGAGATATCACGGCTGTATTTTTAGGACGTTGTTTCTTTATTATTACGTCGATTCTTTTTAATAAAATCTCAAAACAAGGAAGCTCAAGCGTCAGAGGCCAAATCAGTTTCAAAGGCTCAACTAATTGAAGCCAAATCAGTTTCAAAGGCTCAAGGGGATGAAGCCAAATCAGTTTCAAAGGCTCAAGTGGAAGAAGAAAAATCAACTCAAAGCAAACCCTCGAAGAGGATGAGATTTTCCTTAACCTCGGAGAAAGACTAGAGCACAGCCACTTTTGTTGAGGAGCCAAAATCCGGTCGCGGTATCAGCACAATGAGCCATGTTGTGAAGAGGAAAATTGAGAAGGTTAAGCCTGTGATTGAGTTCAATAAAAAGGGCAGACCATATGGCAAGGCTGCTAGTGAGATGCAGTCTTACATTGGTGTTTTGGCACGCACTAGAGTCCCTCTTGTGGACAAGAAATGGGTTCAATTGCCCAAGGACGTGAAGGAGCAGATTTGGGAGGCTGTTCAAATGGCCTATGTTATTGGGGATGTGTGGAAGAAGATGGTCCTGTCGTCTGCCGCCAAAAAATGGAAGGATTTCAAGTATAACGTAATTAGGCAGTATATCCTTCCATTCGCACATGACAAGGAGAAGTTAAAAGAAACCCCTACGCTTTATAAGTTCATAGAGAAATCGCAATGGGATGCCTTTGTAGCTTCAAGGTTAACCCCAGATTTTTTGGTTAAGCATACTGAGCAGAAACAGAGGAGGGAGAAATTGGAGTACAACCATAGGTTGTCTAGAAAAGGGTATATTGGTTTGGAGGACCAATTGGTAGAAACCATGCCCGATATTGAAGAAATCGATCGAGCTGTTCTATGGAAAAAGGCAAGAGAAGATAAAACAGGAAACATCCCTGATCCAAAGGTTGCAGAGAAGGCAAAAATAATCGTAAGTCTCACTAACTCTGTTCTAAATTTGAAAAACAGAGTGTTTTATTTTGGTATGGATGTCGTACGTTTAAATAAGCGACGTTATAAAATAAACACCACGACGGGCTTAATTTACCGACGTTTAAAAATGAATAGGACGTCGGTTTTTGAATAAAGTAGACGTCTGGATAGAATTAATACGACGGATTAAATTCCTCTAGGAACTGCATTTTTGTTTTAAGTTTACTCACGCACACACTCTCCCTCTCTCTGTCTATTTCACTGAAATTTGTGGTGCACAATTTCTGGAAAAGAATGCATATTTCAATCGAGTTTTTTCACTTCTTCATTAAACTTTATGACGGTTTTATCTTATCTAGACGTTAGAATGTTTATACAAGGACGATAATTTTGTGCAGCCGTATGAAATTAAGTCCTACGTCTGTTTGTTCAATAGTCCGTCGTCTTACTTTAAATACTACGACGATTTTTTATTTTTGTTTTAATCTGTTTTATTTTGAATATACGACGGCTTTTTATCTCACGACGTTGTAAATTATAAACAACGACGGTATTTAAATACAGACGTATTAAATTTATACCACGTCAGTAATTTAAGAAAACCGTCGTTGTTTATAATTACAACGTCGGTTGTTTTATCTGTTTTACACCCTGCTCAGTTTCTAACAATCTCTCTTTCTCTCCGAGACCAATGATGTCTTGACTCTTGCTTTGGGAACCCCCGAGCATGGTGGGAGAGTCAGAGGAGTTGGTGCTGGCGTTTCCCCAACTCAGTTCTTCAATTTGCTGAAACAGCAGAGTGAAATTTTTAAAATAACGACGGTATATACGTCTGTTTCTTACAAGAAGCGTCGTGTTTAGTTAAATACCACGACGCTTTTACTTGTTTTGCAAATTATTTTTACATTAAAAATAACGACTGTGTTTTTTGCCGTCGTCTAACTCTTTATAAACCGTCGTCTATTTCATGATGTCATTAACTGCATTTTAATTAGACGA